CGGCGGTGGTGCTGGCGGCGGCGACGACGATGGCGATGGTAGCGGTGGCGGCGGCGGTGATGATGGTGGCGGTGGCGACGACGGCGGCGGCGGCAATGGTGGTGGTGAAATAGGAAATAAATTTAATTGGGGGTAAAATAGAAACTTTAGGCTATTCCCGAGAACTCAAGAATAGCCTAATACCAGGGCCCCTCCCAGGAATCTCTATTCCCCTTGCAAGGGGAATAAGTCATTCCCGGGAACAATGTTCCTGGGATTACAAGTGGTTACCAAACAGAGGAATAGACCTATTAATGGGAATGCTATGTCATTCCAGGCCTATTTCGTGAACCAAACAACCCATTCGTGTAATGACCAATGTGTAATGCATAGGTTGTTTTTGCTCAAATTTCCCACAATTGTCTCTACTTTTGGTGTTCGTTTTTTGCTTTATGAACTGCACCTTTTGTCTTGGCTTTTTGAGAAATCTTTCTTGGAAAATGTACCTAGGACTCATTTTCCTTTGGTGACATTCCTTGTGCAATATCTGACTTAAAGAAAGTTTACTTTTGTTCAGAGATTGTCTGAACAGTTGATCCGTAAAGTTACATTGACTTCTCATGAGTAACTTTTTGTATCATTCTTTAGCAACTTTTCGGATTTGACTTTCCTTGAGTCAATCCTTTACTTTCCAGAAGTGTTAACTATTCGCTTAGTTAACTTTATGTTCCCAACTTTCCGATCAAGGTTGGTCCTTCATTATTTGACCATTAAATCTTTCGGTCTTCAACTCTTCGTCTTCAAAGTCTTCAGCTTTCCGACCTTCAATCTTCACCCACTAGTACAAAAAGTACCATAATAATAGGACAATTTGCGTCTGAAGTTCAAACACCGAACGCATCAAATGACACGGTGTTAATTTTGTAAATAAAAGTTAACTATTTAATTATTATTTTTTTATTTTTTAAATAAAAAAATAAAAGACAATCTACGTCCAAAGTTTAAGAATAGTAGTAGTAACTATATATTAATTACATTCGAATATTAAAAATAACAAAATTAAATTCCAAAATCAAATCATTTTAAAAAATTAAATAAATAATTCATATTGCTTATATAATCGAATAAATAAAATTACTCAAAAGGAAATACAAAAAATAAAATAATAATTTAAAAAGAGTACAAAAATTATTTCTTCAAAATAATCAACTACATAAAAAAAAAGAAATAAAGTTGTTAAAATACATTAAAAAAAAAAATAAAGAGAATAAAAACAAAAATTTTAAAATTAAAGAGTACAAAAAGACATCACCTGCAACTTTTTGGTATGATTGCAAGCTTTCACCGTAAATTTTCACATCAACTTTACTGGGTTCCTTGCAGGATAATTTCAGCCAGACATCGCAGACCTCTTGATATTTTTCAAGTATCATCACTTTCACATTTTCCAGACCTGAAAGCGACTCCCACTCAGATATTCGTCGTTAATTTATGAACGATCAACATCGGCCACACATTTTACAAATTAGTTATTATATAGTTGATTACATTCAAAATGATCATTTAAAAAAGTTGATCAAAAAAGCTATTTTGAGTAATTATTTGAATTTTAATGTTTTGAAACAATAAGCTATTACAAAAAGCTAATTAATCAAACACTTATATTGACTGTTTAACCAACCGAAACAGCTAATAGTGATCAAATAAGCCAAAATTGATTAATAAACTAACTATGTCTATGTTACCAAACATGAATTTTATGCTACAGTCCAACACAATGTTAGTTATGAATTTGGAACAACATGCACATGATTAATAAACCTTTGATATTTGAATTGTACCTATATATAGTCTAATTTAATTTGCAAAAAAAAAAAAAATAAAAAAAAATTCAATAAATAAATCGTTTTAAACAATCCATATGGTTTTAGTTGACGATTTTCTTTGAAGACCACAAAATATAATTCGCTTATAACTTTTTAATGCATTGATGATAAATACACAACTATTGAAATAATATGCAAGTATGCAACTATTGAAATAATTGTTCAAATTCGTTAAAAACAATATATTTAAGTGCTTAAATATGTTGACGTAACTCATTGTATCATAGGATATCGATGCTTCAATGCCTCTAGCATTCTCAGAAGGAAACAAATAGGTTTCAATGAAAGTGTGAATACTAAACGTCTTGAATTTTTATTGATATTGTGACTGAAATTATTTTTCTGAGAAAATTATTTATTTTTTGCTTGTATTGAGAAAATCCCCCCACACTACTACCCAAATAGGTTTTAATACTTATATTACGTGATCCCAGTTTCGTCGATTTAATTCTAAACCTACAAGACCTCGTCCTTAGAGCCATTGTAGAGATAAATAATAAGTCGCGCAATCAACCCACCGGTCAGACCCTAGTCTTCATACACGTACAAGAGATCCAATCCACAGCTTCCATCAGTCAGACCTTTTTTTTTTTTGGGATTCGAATTGAAACCCACAGCTTCCATCAGTCAGACCTTTTTTTTTTTTTTTTTTTTTGGGATTCGAATTGAAACCCACAGCTTCCATCATTCAGTCGTGACACCAAGTCATACGACAAACCACAAAGCTAAATCCCTGGAGACGAATTCTAATTTAGTATGTGGGTGATTGGATAAAAATTCAAATAAATCTTGATTAGAGGAATTTGACCCATCAGTAGTGGTGAAGATCTCTTCTGCCCAGAAATGTATAGATGACGGGGAACCATGAATCATTTGAGTAACTCGAGATTCATCTCCTTCATAAGTCTGAGAGGGTTCATGAGGTCCAAACTAGAGTTTGACAAAGCCAAAAAATATGGGTTATAAAAAGTATTAATAAATAACATTTGAAATTTTTGTGTTATTGAAACATATAATGAAGTGATGACAAGATTAGAGTTGTTATATTCAACAATCCATGTGTATAGTACAATAATGGTACGATGGGATATTGAAAATGGCACCATATGACAAAGCTAACCGTAAAACCTGGAAACAAAAATATAAAGGGAAAATGACACTTTTTTCCCTTGAGTTATATACTTATAGCACTTTTTTTTCCTGAGTTGTTTACGTAAGCACATTAGCCCCCTCAATTATTCTAAAAGTGGCAATTTTCCCCCTTGATATATTAAATTGACATTCCTACCCTTAAAGTAAACATTTTATTTAGGGAAAATGACACTTTTTCCCCCTGAGTTATATACTTATAGCGTTTTTTCCCCCTAAATTATTGAAGTGGCTGTTTTTCCCCTGAAATGTTAAATGGACATATTTACCCTTAAACTAAATATTTAATTTATTTTTTTTCCAACAAATTATGACCATTTGGTTCAAACTAAACAAACACTATAGCAACCAAACCGAAATATTCCAATTACAATTTAGAATCGAAATTCGATATTTAGAGTTTATTAAAATCGTGAACCGGAACGGACGGTTCATGTTCCGAACTGAAAAAATAAAATACATTTATTGTTGAATTTAGACTATTTTAAAATAAAAAATAAAATTTTAAAATAAAGACGGTTCAAAATCGCGAATCAGATCTGGAACCGCTGGTTCACGGTTCAAGATTCAATTTTTTTGATACATAATTTTAATAAATTGACATTTAAATATTAGGTTCTAGATCTGAATTATAACCGTAAACTATTAATTCGATTGCTTTAGTATCCGATTCAATTCAAATCGAACCGTGGTCATCCCTACGTATACGCAATAATCTGTTGGAGTAATAAAATAAATAAAATGTTTACTTTAAGGGTATAAATGTCAATTTAATATATTAGGGGGAAAAGGCACCACTTTTAGAATAATTGAGGGGGCTAATGTGCTTACCTAAATAATTGAGGGGGGAAAAGTGCTATAAGTATATAACTCAGGGGTAAAAAGTGCCATTTTCCCTTTTATTTATTTTTCTTCTTCAACAAATTATTGCTTATACGTAGGGATGACCACGGTTCGGTTCGAACTGAACCGGGCACTATAGCAATCGAATTGAAAGTTTCCGGTTATGACTCAGATCCAAAACCCAATATTTAGATTTCAATTTATTAAAATAATGAATCAAAAAAACTGGATTCTGAATTGTGAACCGGCGGTTCCGAATCTAGTTCGCGATTTTGAATCGTCTTTATTTTAACATTTTATTTTTATTTTTAAAATAGCCTAAATTCAACAATAAATGTATTTTTTTTTTCAGTTCGGAACATGAACCGGCCGTTCCGGTTCGCAATTTTAATAAACTCTAAATATCAAGTTTTGATTCTAAATTGTAATTTGAATATTTCAGTTTAGTTGTTATAGTGTATGTTCAGTTTGAATCGAATCGTGGTCATAATTTGTTGGAGAAGAAAAATAAATGAAATATTTATTGTAAGGGTAAATATGTCAATTTAACATTTCAGGGGGAAAAAGAGCCACTTGAATAATTCAGGGGAAAAAAGTGCTATAAGTATATAACTAAGGGGGAAAAAGTGTCATTTTCCCAAATATAAACTATCTCATCCAACACTCTATATTACGATAGCTAATGCATAATTTTAAAAATTTATAGAAGGCATTAGGTGCTAGTAAGACGCTTAACACTTAAATATCTAGACGGATAAGTAACAATAATAAGAAAAATATTGTATACATTGCAAATCAAAATAAAAATACTCAGCTGAATTGCTCGAGTTAGGGAGGGCTGGAGTTGATCGACTCAAGGGCTTAAGCCACCTAATCAGCTGATTGACTAATGCCATCCGCCTAAAGATAAAATTCCCTCGACCGTCTAGGAGCACCTAATGCCTAATCAGCACTTAGGCGGCCGCTTAAACTAATTTTTACAACAATATATTTATTATAAAAAAAATGTACTTAGTACATTAAAAAAAAAAAAAAAAAAGATCAAACATTAGATAATACTCCGCAGTAATTAATCTCCCACACTCGAATGAATAATTACTTGTAACTCCAATGTGTAGGCTTTTGATGTTCATTTCGATCATATCATCTTAACCACCATGTGCATCTATCTCTGTGATCGGAGAAGAAATCAAACACGATGGCCTCTTCATGAAGATCGTTAAGAACCCAGCCGCCGCCGCCGCCGGCGGCGGCGGCGGCCACCTTGACGTGGCAGCGGCAGAGCGGGCACGTCATGCGGCCGGTGCCGAGCCACCTATCCAAACAAGCTCGGTGGAAAATATGGGCACACCTCAAGTCTCGAATCTCCTCCCCTTCCTCTATCCCGCACAAACAAACCGCGCATTCCACCGCTTCCTTCGCTCCGCCGCCTTCAAAAACCCTTACACCGCCGACCTCCGGCGATGCTCCGGTGACGGCGCCGGGAAACTGGCAAAAGGATTGCCGGAGGAGGTGATCCCAAGACCATTTTAGCTGGGTGAGTAGGAAAACGACGTAGTTTAGGATCGTGGATTGCGGGAACATTCGGAGCAGTTTCTTGAAAGTGTATGTGAAGATTATGAGGAGGACGAGGAAGAAGATAGCATGTAGTGAAGCGGTTCTCATTTTTCTTTTATTTGCTTCACTTACTTTTGCATGGAGTATATAAATATATTTGCTATTTATAGATAGATGTATAAATAATTAATATATAGACTGCCTGAATCCTGATATATATGAATGGTGGTTATGGTGTGAATAACTTTAACTTTGTGTTAACACGTTTTACTCATTTTTTTAGAGGATAAGAAAATATATGGAGAGGATTCTACGATGTTTTTGTGGGGATTTTTTTTTTTTTTTTTTGGGTACATTTAATTAATTAGACTTGTTTTTAGGTATGGCAATAGGCGGGGTGGCCGCGGAGAGTATAGTTTTTGTCTTGTTTCCATTCTGATCCCAACCAGGAAATAGAAACTTCTCCTCATATTTGCCTTTCTAAAAAAATTTTCAGGCAAAGTATTCTTGCACTCTAATCACAATCGTTATGTCGTGCAACACGCGCACAATTATCTAAAACGAAGTCGTTTTGTTAAGTTATGTGGAGAGTTGACACGATAAAATTTATGTGTATTCTGTTGTACAATTATGTACATTCTGTTATACAATTATGTATATTTAAAATATGAGATTTTTTTTTAAGAGTTAAGAGTTTATGTGTATTACGTTAATGGTTTATATGTATTATGTTAAGAGTTTATGTGTATTGTGTATTATGTTAGATTATGTGTATTATCCTTTCAAAAAAAATTACGTGTATTATGTTAGGGGTTTATATATATTCTATTATACAATTATGTACATTCGAAACATGTGAAAACGACGTTGCTTTGGACCAGGATTATACAGTTTTACAATTTTTAATAATTAATCTTTTTTGGATGCTACTGGTTCTATTACAATGTAGTATCTGTTCATATACTTTCTCAACCTACTGAAACACTAACCTTCTGAATGGAAATCCAACCCGGGTACCATTAGACCACATAGTCTTGGTTAATAATTAATCTTTAATTCTTCATAATTTCATCAATGTGTACTCTTCTGCGTGTTATATATATATATATATATATATATATATATATATATATATATATATATATATATATATATATATATATATATATATATAACTTTAGGGCATTTTTGTTTATTCATATTTTTCTTTTTTGTTCTTTTTCCAGTTGCAACTGGTTTAATTGACTTAGGACTTTATTAAAAATCGATTGAAAAATATGGTTACTAAAAATCAGAGGTTACCTAAAGTTCTAAACCAATTAAACCGGAAAAATAACAAAAGATAAATATGAAAAGATAAAAATGCCCTTACTAAAAATAGAGGAAGTCATGAGAAGGACTAAAATTGTCCAAAAAATAATAGTCTGGGATGAAAAATGACAAAAATGATAGTCTAGGACTAAATTTGCAATTGTCACCAAACACAAGAGACCTCTAGTGGAATTATATAATTATCAAGTCTTAAAAAATTTAAAATTTTAAACAAAATTTTAAAAATAAAATAAAAAATACATGGGCGTCTAAGCACCGATTAATCGCCGTCTAAGCACCCTCGAGCGTCCGAGAAACGTCTAGCGATTTTTTCAACCATGATATGAACACATGTATTTATTAAATAATTATTTTAAAAAAAGCTTAATCGCATTGGCTAAATGATGCATAGAAATTTTTTGAGTAATGTGTTCGTATTTCGATTATCTTTATCCGTCCTAACAATATTCTCTTACTATATTATTTTCTTTATACCATTGTGATACTTTCTTATTTTCAAAATTGGTTTCATATTATCAATATAGATAAAATATGGGTTGCAAGCTAGCTTGAAACCCACATTTTCAATTAAAAAAAATTGTTTTAATTTTTTTTTTTTTAAATTTTCATGTCATTTTGTAATGCCAAAATTACAGGAATGAACTTAGGTTATCCTTGTTACTGCAATATTCTCTCACTTTTTAAAATAGGTCCTATTTCCACATCATCAAATTTACAATTTTCCCACTATTTTAACTACATCCTTACAATATTCTCTCACTCTCAAAAGTGGTATCACTTTTATATTATATTATTATAAATATAATAACAAAATAATAATAAAGTAAAAAAATTAAAAAATTAAAAAAATTAAAATTATACAAAAGGCTGCTGCACGGCAGCGGGTGCAGCAGCCTCTTTTTGCAGGCGTGCAAAGTTAAACAAAAATAAATTTAAAAAGTTACCTCATAGTCTATATTATTTTATAATTGACAAAATTTTTGAAATGAGGACAACCTTAAATTAGCCTGAGATATTAAAAGTGTGACAAATGGAGTGATTGCTCAACATATGCTTTTATTTTTATTTGAGTGAATGTAGATTAAAAAAAAAAAAAAAAAGTACTGTACTCTCTACTTAACATATATTGTGATTGCTCTGGATGGCAAATAGTATTGATGTGACTTATCTACGTTTTATATAATATTTTATATTTTTAAAAATTTGTTTTACTTTAATTAACCCTATATATTAAAAAAAAAAAAAAAAAGTAGGTTGTGTTTATTACTCTATATTAGGAAAGGCATAATTCTAAAATTACTTATTGGAAGAACATGGTAGTAGAAAATTAGTAAATGAAAGTTTGTTTATTGTCAAATGGTAAACTTAATACTTTAATAGGTAACGACTAAAAGTGCATATATTATTATATAAAATTGTATTTAGATAAAAGACAAGTTCTGTTAAGAGAATAAAAATAAATTGACATAAAATCTACAAATCTCCCTCACTCTGTATGCATAAAAGCTAATTCATCATAAAATAAGTTTTCAATTTTGACTCTTGATGGGTCCTTAATTGTGTTACTTTTCTTATGCATTAATTAGTCATTTTTTGCTTAGTATTGCTTTAATTATGTGTAAAGTGACCAATTATGTTATAACGTATCAAGAGGAGTTAATTTGATAGCAATATTGTGTTTTGAATGTAAAAAAGGACAATTTAGATCAGAAAAGGACAAAAATAAGAGGGAAGCTAAAAGAACACTGTCACACAAGGGTGTCACGTGCGTGACATAGCTTGTGAGGAACAACTTCAGAAAGTCATCCTCTGCTATCACGAGCTTTATCACGGTGTGACAAGAGCTTGTGACGGAAACATCTGCGAGACACCTTTAGCTACCACGAGCATGTATCACGACGTGACAAGGGAGTCATGGAGCAATCTTCTACATACAAGGGGTGCTCTGCTGCCACGTTGACCATCACGACGTGAGAATATAATGCTTGTACACATGTTCATGCGAGGTGATCAAGGCCATCATGAGACTTGTCACGACATGATGATGTTCAGCTCGTAACACACCATTTTCAGAAAATATAAATAGGAGAAGTTGGGTTAGGGAGACGAGACTTGGCATTGATGATGTTAATTAACATGATTGAGTTTAGGTTAATAAGTGATTACCTAATCTTGACTCGAGTGATTAATATGTTGGTGATAATGAACCAGATGTCGATTTAATATCGTAAAATAATATTTATATATACACACGAAAGTATATAAAATATTGTTCGATATATATCCGAAATATATATATACACACAAATATATATAAATCAGACCCCCACAGTTATATGCATCTATATCTACGAAAAAGATATGTGTATATCAACCAAAATGGAATTTATAATCTTCAGATTATAATTCCAACCAAAAGAAAACAAAGTATAGTACAAGGATTTTTGCTTAGAGCATAATCCCAAAACCGGAGAAGAAAGGAGATGAAGAAGAGTGGTAAGTACGAGTCGAGTGTAAACTCATTTTCCTTAAAACCTTATTTGACACCTCCCAAAAGTACTACGGTTTAATATTAATCTTTAAAATCAAATTATAACATTCAAAATTAAATGATCCGCAGGTGCTAACATACACGAGCCTTTTTTATCTTAGTTTGTGATTTGATTTGCATCCCCTTCCCTGCACGCGAGAGACAACTTATATACTATACAATTCAATAAGCCTAAAAAGAGCTCTTGTATAAATAGTGGGACAAATCATCTTTCAAAACCAATGTGGGACAAAAGCTTTACTTTTTCCCTTCATTTTTCCAACTTAATGGGTCTACTTTGAGAATCAATATCTCATTCACCTATTATCCGTTTTGAGCGTACAATATATCAATCTCTTCGTCTCACTACGAAGAACCCGAATCCACTTTGACTTGACCCAAATCGGAAATGGACCCCACTGATAATTGTACCACAAAATAGCTACTTAAAATGTCATTTTAATGCTATTTTTCCAAAATAATATGCCTTATTGTACCTTTAAGAAAAAGGAAGTATGGGATGTCAAGACGCGTAAGTCAAGAACGCTTAATCACAGAGTTCTTTGGTTATTTGGTTGGTATATCCTTCTTAAAACCAATTGGTGATAAGTAGGTATACATATCCTTCTTAAAATTTTAAGAAGGATATGACAACCAGATAATCAAAGAATAACTCAGTGGTTTAAGTGTGGTTGACTTACAAGATGGGTGGCTCACTGGGAAGTAAGCATTGTGTAGTGCTGAGATCCATCAATTGGTATTAGAGCTGAGCCAAGGTCACGAGTTCAAATCATTGGCAAAGCAGTAGCCAAGTCCAATCCCAGATGGGATGAGCATAGATTTGGCCAGATCCAGTCCCGAGAAGGGATTAATGGGCGCAGAGGTTAAGGATCGAATTAGTCATGTTGTGTAACAAGGTTTTATGATCAAAGGTTGTGGCAGGTGCTGGGAGGGGATTGCTGGCGTCAGTTTTGTTGGCGGTGTTCAACCCTTGCTCAATTCGCGACGTGGCACTGTGGCTTACCATTGAACTAGGGGGTGTGATTAAATAATTAACTCCACCTACTTATCACCAATTAGTTTTAAGAAGGATATGACAATCAGATAATCAAAGAACTCCTTGATAAGCCATAGTGTCATGTCTGTAATCATGTATACCCTTAGGTCATTTTACATGTTAATCTAAATAGTTAATTTTTTCAAATATCTTTTTACCAACCGTTGATATAATTCGCTGGTCAAATTC